GAGTTTTTGGTGTTTGGATCAAAAACTCGATGATTCACCAAAATATGAAAATAGCCTTCTAAATCTAATCTATAATGGAGTTTAAAATCAACTTAATACAAATAGATAAAAAGCATAATAATTTGTCTAAAGAAGAAAAGTCTTTGAATCAATATTTTGCAATCTAAGCTTCATAGAACAGAAGTGCAATAAGTCTCTACACCGGTGATTGTCATAGCAGCAACTAATTATGGGACTTAGAATCGAATCAAAAAAAGTATTGGCGCTTCAATTGAGCTTGTTGCCATATATAATTTTTTTTTTGAATAATTGAGGTACGAGGAGCAAATGAAGATTAAAAGGAAAATGGAAGGAAGATTTGAACTTCTTTCGTGCTCAAAACAAGGCGAGTACTAATGGTTAGCTTATTACTTTCATATTTGGGTGATAGTTGCTCGTAAAGTTTTGGAGAAAGACTTAAAATAATCTATATGTATTGTAGGGAGGGTTTTTATGATGATTAAATCAGAATACTTCTAACTCCTTATTCTTTTCCTTTTTATATAGAATTTTAAAATTTTTTAATTGTTATATATCCTTTCATGTCTTTTGAATTTAAAAAGTAAGAAGTGGATCCACTTATATAGGAATTTGATTTGAAATCTATTAATATGAGGTAAATAAAGAGGAAACATCACTAAACTTACTCAAAGTAAAAAGTAAATAACAATATTTTATCCTTCAACTTAGTAATCCTAACTAAAAAGGCAAATTATATAGAAAACAAAAAAGAAAATAATATTCATCGGTCATGGATCGAAAAAAATCAAGAATGGTACCATTCGTGAACGCTAAATTATGAAATTACTAAATAAAAAGCAAAGTACTACTAGCATTTCAACATGAAAATTTTTATTTGAAATCTCTATTTTTGATGAAAAACAATAATAAAAACAACACCAATTCTACCAAAAATAAAAAAGAATAACAATGCAATTTAAAGAAACCATATAGAACTTTTGACCCTAAACTATATATCTATTAAATTTGTATATATTTGATCCAAATTTGACCTTAATTAAATATGAATAAGAGTGCAAAACCCAAATGCTAAGAATCATCTTGGGTATGATTAATTATTTTATGTATTTTTATTGTTTTCTTCATATGTAAATATGCAATTGTTAAGTCATTTTTATATATTTTTTTGTAGTAGTTAAGGTTTTATAAGATATTATCAGTTTTTCATTTGCATTTTTAAATGTCAATACTTGCAACTATTGTGATCAATCTTAAGTTTTATATGCTTTTCATATTGTGAGAGGTAAAGTTAATATATTGTAAAAATATTAAATCAAATTGAAGGTTATGATTTTCTTTTTTTCTTTTGCTTCAAATTTTATCTTTTCAAAGTTATTTTGAAAGTACAAATATAAGTATATTTTAAAATCGTAAAACCAAACTACAAGTTATGGAATTTTTTTTGTTTCAAAATTTAACTCTTCAATTTGGAGGTTGAATGTAGATTCAATGACAATATTTCTTCTTTGAAAATTTGAAATCATTCAATTCAAATTTAATATGAAAAATAACTAAATTTGGTGTTTTTACCAGTGAAATTTACTTTTGTTGATCTTGATCCCTATCTTTTGATGTTTACAAAACAAATGGATGTTACTAATGTCTCTTAAAAGATCTATTCAGTTATGAAGCAAATTAGTTCCAAAGATCAAGTACAATTGAAAGATGACAAAGTATGCTGAAGCTGTCGGACGCTCAAGAAGTCAGGATCGGACGTCCGATAATCATTGCACAATTTCGGACGCATGCTTCGGACGTCCGATAGGATCCTTCGAAGTCGACGAAACTATCGGACGCTGAATATGTTTCTACCGGACGTCCGATAGAAACAAGATAATTTCTCAAATCTGTTTGTTTGCTGTCGGAAGCACAAAGAGCTTGCACCGGACGTCCGAAAGAATTGAAGAAAATCTCTGAAACTCACTGCCTGCTGTCGGACGCATAAAACAGGGCTATCGGACGTTCGACACTCCAACGGCTAGTTGACTCTTCAGCTACTTTCTATCCGTTGGAAGCTTTAATGAGACTCTTTCTTGGTCCTATATAAATAGTGATTGGTCAGATACTTCAAACAACTTTGGCACACTGAAGATACAAAAGATCTAGAGAGATTTTAGTGAGAAAATACTCTTCAAAGAAGATTTGTAGTCTTAGTGGTGTGAGGTTCATTGTAAGCTTTTCATTTGTGAGTGAATACTTCATGAGTGTAGCTCTGTGAGGGTTGTCCTGAGGGATAGTAAAACGTCCTGGCTTGACCGAGGGAGTTCGGGGCAAGGAGGAGGTGAACCTTCCTTTGTACACAAGAGTGATTGTAATTCATCAATTTGAAGTAGCTTGTTTGAAGCTCAAGAGGAGCTGGGTAGTTAATTGGTTTGCAATTCTTTCCTTTTACTTACTGTTACATTTGTGATCTTTTAATTGCTTATCGATTGGCTTTTCGATTGGTTGTCTTCGATCCTTACAACTTTATAATAGTGTAACATAAACATATGTTAAGTTATATTTTGAATAATAGAGAAATATAATAGAGAAATATTGGAAGTCAAGGATAGGAAGCTAGAGACTAACTATGAGGGAAAAAAAGGAATAGTAAGGAGTTAAAGAATGACGAAAAAAGAAGATGAACTACAACGAGGTTGGATGAAGAGAGAAGAGAAGAAAGAAGGGGACTATAGGGACATGACAGAAAAGATGATAATGTGGTAAGAGATTTGAAAGTCATAAAAAGCAACCGATAGCCAATTAGCAAATAAGGGAGGATGGAAAATGTGATAGTTTTTAATAATTTTGAAAACTTTAAAAACACATCTTACAAAGATTTTTTTAAAATCTATATTAAAGTTTATGAAGAACAATATTTTATAAGCACTCAACAATTTTAGGATTATAAAATGGGAGAAAAAAATATTCTAAAATTGAGGAAAATGAATTAGTTAAAATTTATGTTTTAAATATTAAAAATTTTGATATATGGGTATAACATGATATATTGATAAATAGGTTTACAATTGCTCTATCGTGTAAATCATTATAAATTAAATTATTTTACTCAAATTGTTATCATATATTGACAGACAATAGGTAAACAAATTTTGGTTTCAACTTATTTAAGATATTAAAATTAAGAAAGTCCATTTTGTACTTACGAAATAAACTTTTTTTAACATGTTAAGTATACACTTTTTTGAATTATTTTGCTTTTTTCATATATTTCATCCTATACTATAATATATAAGTATATATTATTGTTTTTAATTGAAATATAAATCTGTGCATAGCACGGGTAAGAATGCTAGTTGTGAAGTATTTATAAGGGGTGGAGATAATTATTTATAACACAGAAATAGAAAAGATAGGATAATAATTCCGTTTGGATTCTTATTTTTAGTTTTTTTTTAAGAAAAATGTATTGTAGCAATTTTGATACATGTGAGATAAAAAGGTGATTAAGAAATGTATTCACAGAAAGTATAAAAATTTTTCTGCAAAAAATCACAATCCTTATTTTCATTTAAAAAAAAAGGAGTAATTGTTGGAGATTCTTATTATTTACTATTTACTACTATCATTTATGTATGTTTGTTACAGGCCATATTTTGCTGAGCTAGCTGGGGAAACATCAGTTTGGGAAAGCAATGGATCCCTCGGTGCTACAAGCTTCTTTCAACGTGGATCCGGGGCTGGTGGAACTTTTCAACACCAAGATTGGCAAGGGCAAAAATTTTGTTCCTCCAAAGGAATCAGTTGAGAATTGGGACTTGAGGACTCCTACCTTTTTTTTTTTAATCGCAAAAATAATATTCCTATAATCTAATCTATTTTAATTAAGGAGGGGGAGCCGATGAGAGTAGAAACTCCATCGGAGAAAGTCACTAAAAGCAGCCACCTATAATGACAATTTGGTGGGAAGCAAGATTTGAACCTTGACCTCCCAACACTACCAAGACTTAAATGTTTGGCAGTGATCACCAGGCCAAAGGGCCGGTGGCTAGGACTCCTAGCCTTTGAGGACTTCTACCTCAAAGGCTACAAAAAGATATACAAGTATCTAAAGACTAATGAACTTTGGGAGGCCACTTAATTTGATTTGCTATAATCTGCTTTAATTATTCTCTCCAAAATCTAATTATCAAGTTTTTTGACATATGTGATTTTAATCATATTTTTACCTACTTGTTCACGTCTAAAAAGATTAATTTTATCTGATAAGAAAAAAAAAAGAAATAGGGCAAAAACAGTCAGATCTCAAATGACGAAATAAAGAGAAGCTTGAGGAGTGAAGTAAGGGGGTTTCTAAAGTAATAAAGGGGGGAAAAGGCCAATTTTTATTCCTAAACTTTGGGTCATGGATACATTTCATTCTTATTAGTATAAGATTTTTAGTATTTAAACTATTAATTTTTTGACCAATTTCATATTCAAACAAGAAATTAATCAAATTCAACAAAAATTGGAGTCAGAAAGAAAGGTATTGAAGTTTGAAGAGTGAAGATGGTCGTTCTATTATGTTAAATTTAAGTCGTGTAAGATTTTTTATTTAACGGGTTTATACTCGTCAGGGTCCCAATTTTCGTTATATATATAGATATAAAACAAATTGAAGAGATGGTTCTTTTTTTTTTTTTTGGTAATTGGATGTACACATTTGACATTCAACCCTTCTTCAACTAACTCAATAAAAATCAATCTCTTTTTTCCTCAATTGTGGGTCGAAGTACTCCATTTTTCCATAATTCTACTACAAAATAATCGAGGAGTGTAATTCCGTGGGTATTTTTTTTTTCTTTTGCGCTTTTAACTGGTAGTTCTTTTGGGTTTGATCAATTTCTGAGTTGAAGAATATGAATGAAAGCCTCGAGAACTTCTCTTGCCACCCAATTGTAATTCACTACTTCGACTTTAATCTGATATAAACCGAAAAGCAAACACGTAGACATCGCTAATTTTAACCATCACATATTCCCCTTCTCCGAGTTTTATTTTACAGTTTGTACGCCATCACCACGTCCAGCCTCAAAAGCTACGTGAGCCCTTGTAGAGGTTTAGATTAAAATTACATTACATAAACAAGCTCAGCTAGTGTGCTATCCTGGCAAACAGAACCTCAACTTGATATTTGCTTGAGGCTATGATTTCACTTTGTTATCTTAACTGCCATTGATCTTCTCAATGACAGATATTAGCCCCTGGGTGCCCAGCTTCCCACCCCCATTAGCCACCATAGAAGCAAACAATTGTTTAGTCAATGCAGCGCCAGGCAATACCACCACTTCACCCCCTTCCTCTTCCCCAACATCCACTCCCATTCCCAAGTCCTTCACCATATATTCCGCGACCCCACCAGGCTTGAAGTCCTTCTTGATCATCCTGTCCCCGAACAACTCCATCACCATTGATCCAGCTGCACCGCCTCTCACAGCCTCCACAAACTTCAATTTGTCCAAACCGGCTTTATCCGCGAAAACCAGCCCTTCACTCAGCCCAAGTAAATTCGCCCCAGCGGTTATCTGATTCGCTATTTTACAATGCTGTCCCTTCCCAGGGCCGCCAACATAAGTCACCCTCCCCATTTCATCAAACAGTGGTTTTAACCACTTCACAACATCCTCATCTCCCCCGGCTAATATCGCCAATTTGCCATCTCTCGCTCCGATGTCGCCTCCGGAAACTGGGGCGTCAACGGAGTGGCAGTGTCTTTCAAGGGCAGAATCATAAATCTGCTTAGCCAGGGTGGGGTGGCTGCTAGTGTGATCAATAATGACTCCGTTGGGATTGAGAGAAGGGACAAGGTTCTCTAGCACAATTTGTCGAACATCTGATGGGTGTCCCAGCATCGTGAAGACGACATCACTTGCACGGGCGAGGTCGGCGACGGAGGGAGCCAGATGGGCCCCTTTGGATTGGAGAGGGGCGGCCTTTGACGGGGTTCGGTCATAGACGGTGACGGAGTAGCCGGCAGAGAGGAGGCGGGAGGCCATGGCGGAGCCCATCACGCCTATGCCTACCCAGCCTATTCGGGTTTGGGTCGGGGTTATGGTTGTCGGGTAGCGGGCGCTCATCCTTCACTAATGACTAATGAGAGTGAACTGCAGGAGCGTGTAAAGATGCTTGATCAGTAATGAGAGAAGTGATTAAAGTAAACCAGAGTATAATTATTTACATTCGGATCCTTATTTTCATTTTTAATTTGGATATCCAGGCTCACATTTTCAAAATCATGATTCTGCAGTCGGTTTGGAGTTTTTGGTGTTTGGATCACAAACTCGATGATTCACCAAAATATGAAAATAGCCTTCTAAATCTAATCTATAATGGAGTTTAAAATCAACTTAATACAAATAGATAAAAAGCATAATAATTTGTCTAAAGAAGAGAGAAGTCTTTGAATCAATATTTTGCAATCTAAGCTTCATAGAACACAAGTGCAGTAAGTCTCTATACCAGTGATTGTCATGGTAGCAACTAAGTTATGCGACTTAGAATCGAATCAAAAAAAGTTTTGGTGCTTCAATTGAGCTTCAATCGAATCAAGCTGAAGCAGATGTTTTCTCAGATTTATGGAGGTAAACTGGCCGAATCTCCCGTTTGGTCCTTTACATTTTCTTCTGCTGGCAACTTGACGCTTACACGTTGATCAAATGTCGAGTCGAACTCATGCATCTGTCATTTGCCATTTTTTCAAAAGCTAATGAGGACCGAATTCCTAAACCAATTTGAACTGGTTGGCTACTGCCTAGTATACGACGTTAGGAACATGGAATCTGTATTAGGTTTAGTTCATTCAGAAATCATTCTTGTAATCCAAAAGCCTGACCGTAGTCCTTTTTTTTTTTTACGGCAACGATGGAGTCTAAAAAGACCGTGTATAAGAGACTAGTAGCAACATTAGACCACTGTGTGTAAGAACTTGCTAGATCAAAAGGATACTCTGACACCTCCGACCTACAACCCAAAGAGGAACCTTAGTCCCTTTTTGGTAACCACTGTGCCAAAACTCAGTGGATTACAAGATTGAACATGAAATTGCTTATCAATACGAAAACAAAATGAGAAAAGAAAGTCGAGTTTTCGTAAGCAAAAGGCAATAAGTTGTGTCTGGATTTAGTGATAAACAGTGGAAGAGAGTAACAAGGAACTTTATCTACCTTTTTTATTCCAACACGTCAGGAGTGAGGAAGGTGCATCTAACTGGGTACTTCAGGTGAAGGGAAAGAGTTTGATTATGAACTTGTCTCTTTTAGTATAACAGGATTCTGCAACTAGTCGTTGGCTAACTTCTTACCACGCATGCGGTTGCCAGGCCTTTCAATCCACGGCAATGCATTTGGCATGACAGACACAGAAGATAGCCATGTTTTTGCTTTACTACTATCATCGCTCCATAGTTTGTTGAGTGTCTGACAAACCAAATCCCTAAAAATCTTTCTTCTGCAATCCCTACTGTATTTAAGCCAGATAACATAACACAACACATAGAATAACTAAAACATAAAGATGACAGCCTTACAACAGGAGTTTTTTCTAACAGACTCTTCAAGCTTCCTAGCTGCTGCAGTTTCCCACGTCTACTTTCATCTCCTAGTAACCACTATTCTTCTCTTGGTTGTTTATCTTTTCTACATTAGATCAAAATGCATTTACCTTATTGATTTCTCTTGCTATCTACCACCTGATAACCTGCGTGTCCCAACATCCCATTTCATTGAACACTCTGAAAGATGTCAGGTTCATGAGAGGGAGGCAATTGATTTTCACACAAAAGTAGCTGAAAGATCAGGTGTCGGGAATGAGGCCTGTGCTCCTTTATCTGTACATCAGATGCCTCCTGATTCTTCTTTGATACGATGTCGAGAAGAAATAGAAACTGTTCTCTTCACCGTCGTAGAAGACCTTCTCTCCAAACACAAGGTTAATCCAAAAAGCATTGACATAATTGTATCCAACTGCAGTATATTCTGCCCCATACCATCCATCCCAGCTATGATCATAAATAGATTTGGTTTCAGAAGCAATGTTAAGAGTGCCAACCTTAGTGGAATGGGTTGCAGTGCCGGACTCTTGGCTGTAAGTTTAGCAAAAGACCTCCTAAGAGTCCATAGCAATTCATTGGCTTTGGTTCTAAGCATTGAAGCCGTAACTCCAAATGGTTATAGAGGAAATGTCAAGTCCATGCTTTTAGCCAATGCCTTGTTTCGGATGGGAGGTGTAGCCATTTTGTTGTCCAACAAGAAGCGAGACAGACAGACAGCTAGATACAAACTCAAACATCTCTATCGAACACACATGGGTTCTAATGATCAATCATATATGTCAGTTTACCAAGAGAATGACAAATCTGGTCATCTTGGGGTGTCCATTTCGAGATCACTTCTACATGTGGCCGGAAATGCGCTAAAGACAAACATAACAGACTTGGCACCAGCTGTCTTGCCTTACTCGGAACAACTTCTGTACGGATGGTCAGTTATCCGCAAGAAGATCTGGACAGTTAGTACCCAGAACGAAATCCATCTGCCCAATTTCAAGAAGGCTTTTGACCATTTTTGCATACATGCTGGAGGAAGGGCAGTAATTGATGCCATTGAGGAAAATCTTGGGCTGAACAAGGAAGATGGAGAAGCCTCCAGAATGACTTTGTATAGATTTGGTAACACATCATCTTCTTCTGTCTGGTACGAGTTATGCTACTTGGAGAGCAAAGGGAGGGTAAAAAAGGGGGACAGAATCTGGCAAATCTCTTTTGGCAGTGGCTTTAAATGTAACAGTGCAGTTTGGGAATGCATCTCTCACCCTGACCCAAATGTAAGAAATGCATGGTCGGACAGAATTCATTTGTATCCTGTGGAGATCCCAATCATCGCTGATCACTGAAAATTCGGGTGTAAATCAATTAGTTCATAAACGACAACTAATGCATGTTGAAATTACACCCATGACAAAAATTGGTATGGTTGGATGGAAACCCGTGGCCATGTGACATCTATGAACAGACCTGGATAGATAAGATGAGCATGTAGAGAGAGGTTTCCGACATATCTTCCTAGAAGTCATAATCTAATCTGCTGGACAATTTAGTGCACAGAATGTAAATCAATTATAGGCTTAGCAAGAGAAAGTGTACCAGGTTCTGCAGGTTATCGTAGAACCTGGCAAACTTAATGCAACACATGAGAATGAAGGCCAGAGCTTCTACAGTAATTAGCTAAACTATTGCTGCTATCACTAAATTTTCTAAATCCCCTTAGGATTCTTCAGAATTTTTGGCACCTTTTCTCCTCCTACACCATTCAGGTTATTTACAAGAATGTTGTGGGTTTTATTGGAATTAAAAAAATAATAATGGGGGCTTAATTTGACTTACCAAAATTTGGAATGTGTTAAGCGATGATGTAAAAGTCAACTTTAAGCTCGATGGTAAAAGATCAATTTATTCTCAAATAAATGAGCATAGGGACACAGCTACATAAATGAACTTCACCTGTAAAAGTTGATGAATAACACGACTATTCTTCTCTTTTATTTCCTGATTGTTTCCACGACAATACACATGCAGGCGCTGCTATCAGCATTTCACTACTATGGAATGCCCAAGGCTTTTTTTTGTGAATTAAAGTTCCAATTTTTAGCCTTTTTTCAACCTTCTTATGATTGATTTTCTATGACAATAATTTTGAGTATGTGTGATTATTAAGTTGGTTGGAGGAATTTAGGCTCAGAGATATTGGTGTTAAATTTTGGAAGTGCAATAGACATTGATTATTACTGGGGAATGGGAGGGAGGAATTGGTCCATATGACAGAGGAAGCTTTGAGGGTTATTTGTGAGGGGTGGGAAGGTGGATTCAGATTTCAGACATTTTCACTTAAATACTTTTTATTATAAAAATTTTATTTTTAGAAAATACACTCTATACAAGTTCTTAGAAAGAATGCATTTGATGCGACTTCATCGAAATTAAGTGGAATTTGCAGGAACAATTTGAATTAACCAGAGACAGAAAGAATGGATCCAAATAAACTTGGAAACCAACTTCAAAATTGCCAAAGAAATAATTACCCAGAGAGCAGGAAGGAACCATAAAATACCTGTACTGCCTCATTTAGTCCTTGTCCGACGAGATTTTGTTATTGACACTACCTGCTGCTTGGATAATAATTCAGCAACAATTTGGCATCCATACAAGTGAGACTTCTTGAGGATTAAGTTTCTTGTAGAGGAATCAACAGAATAGCCTTGACCTGGCATCCACTTTAACAACTGAAGCAGCAAGTCTTTCTTCTCAGAGTCCTCAACATACCGTGATATAGCCATATGAAATAATTTCTAAGACAAATAACATGACAAACAGATTAATTCCAGGATCTGCAAGCTGAAGACTAAGCTAGACACTTTAGCCGGATAAATCTTTCCAGATTGACAGTCACAAAAGTTGAGAAGCATAGAAAGCATATAAGCATAGAAATCTTTTGCCAGTTGTTTGTCTACTTAATCAGACCTTAGATGCATTAAATATGTCTAAATGAATGGCATACACAGTTCACATATCAGCCACTCTGACTCCACAATAAAGTAAGGAAGCAGCTTTGACTCTTCCCATGAGCTGCTCTTGGCACATTTATATAAGCAAGTAATAAATAAGCAAGTAAAATTTATTACCACAGATAAAGCTGCTCTTGGCACATTTATATAGAACACAATCAGCGCAGAAGGACAATAAGAAAATCAATTTTGCATGTGATATATAAGAGGAGATCAAACTTTTCCTAAACCACAGATTAGACAACCTAGGAGCTACGAAGCATTAGTCATGTCCCAGTGTCTTTGTCTGCAGAATGTGGACAAGTATGAGTGTAGTCCAAATAGCATCCACTCCGAACATCATTGCAATAAGCAGGGAAAGTGCTCTCCCATCTTCTTTGAGCTTCAATGCAAGTTTACAAAATCTGTTCCTAAAATGGACGTAATTAGGACGTTCGTTGAGCACTAGGATTTTACTCAACATCAACCTAAATGCCTGATTAGCCACTGGAAATTTCAATGAAAGGGGAAGGTTGCCAGCATCTAAGAAGGGACCACAATATGTACAGCACTTATTCCCTGGAAAACATTTTCTGCATAGATTGAAAGGTCTTAATTTGCATCTGATTTCAAGACTTAAAAAGTCAATGATCTGCTCTAGACCACTTCTTTAAAACTTCAACCATTGCTGTCGGTAATAGATCACGCTCAAATATGATAATTGATGGGTCATGTCTCAAGTAGCATAGCACCAAATAGCCTAGGAAACAGTTAAAATATTTGGAGACAACTCAGATTGATGCAACTAACCTCAAGAGTGACAAATAAATTTTTCTTAAAGGATTTATTCAAATTAAATATCACTTCGCTACCTGATCAATCTTGTACCCAGAACTGTGAATGGCCTTTATTACATCATTTACCAAGTTTATATTGCCTGATTTCATGAAGGAAACTGCAAATTTCTTTGTGGCAGATTGAGAAATGGAGCCTGCATTGTCCTGCACAGTTGAGAGTGCTTAGCACGTTTTTATGAGAAAAATTCATATAAAGATTGACTTAAAAGTCATTGCATACCTTGATTATTATGTATGCATCTTTGAGAAGTCGTCCGGCAACTAAAATGTGCAAAATTTTCTCAT